TCATGGGACAACACTATAGAAATGACACTTTGATATAACTTAAAGTAGTCAGTGTACAGCTTGTATAGTAGTATAGATTTACCTTCCTCTGAAAATTACTCAAAACACAGCCATCAACATCTAAACAGCTGGCAACATAAGTGAGTACACCCCACAGTGAACATGTCCAAATTGTGCCTAAAGTGTCAATATGTTGTGTGCCAACCATTATTATCTAGCACTGCCTTAACCCTTTGGGCATGGAATTCACCAGAGCTCACAGGTTGCTTCAGGAATCCTCTCCCACTCCTCCATCATGGAGCAGATGGATGTGTAGACACCTTGTGCTCCTCCACCTTCAGCTTGTGCACCTGTGGGCCACAGGTGCACAGATGAGTTTAGGGCTGGGTACATACTTGGCCAGTCCATCACCTTCACCTTCAGCTTCCTCAGCAAGGCAGTTGTCATCTTCTAGGTGTGTTTTGGGTCATTATCATGTTGGAAAACTGCATTGCGGCTCAGTTTCCGAAGAGGGGCTATCATGCTCTGCTTGGAATTCATGTTTCCCTAAATGAACCGAGCTCCCCAGAGCTGGCAGCAAAAAATTAAGATCCACTTTAGACATTGCTGTTCCTCCAAGAATTAAAAAAGACAAATAACCCATAAGCTACCATGGAAAACTGATGCTATTTGCCAGTTTAAAAGAAACTGTCGTAGAGCTGAGAGACAATGGAGGAAAAGTAAACTAAATGTTCACTTTGACATCCTTAAATACCATATTGGCATTTACAATAATGCTGTTAAACAAGCAAGACAGGCCCATTTCTCAAAAATCATTATTGAAAATAAACATAACTCTGGGCGGCACGGTGGTGTGGTGGTTAGCACTGTTGCCTCACAGCAAGAGGGTTGCCGGTTCAATCCCGGGTGTGGGAGCCCTTCTGTGCGGAGTTTGCATGTTCTCCCCGTGTCAGCGTGGGTTCTCTCCGGGCACTCCGGCTTCCTCCCACAGTCCAAAGACATTCAGGTTAATTGGTGACTCTAAATTGTCCGTAGGTGTGAATGTGAGCGTGAATGGTTGTTTGTCTCTATGTGTCAGCCCTGTGATAGTCTGGTGACCTGTCCAGGGTGTACCCTGCCTCTTGCCCGATGTCAGCTGGGATAGGATCCAGCCCCCCCGTGACCCTCAAGAGGATGAAGCAGTTAGAAGATGAATGAATGAAACACAACTCTAAAGTCCTTTTTTCCACTATCAACTCTCTTTTAAATCCAACACCGATGCCTTGCCTAAATGATCAAAACTCAGAAAGTAAATGTCAAGAATTTGCACTGTTTTTTAAAGGAAAAATTTATACCATTAGGTCCAGTATTTTAGTCACACATTCAACAACCATCTGCGATCTACCTGTTAGCGAGCCTCCATCTATGGTATCTTTTAATTTAGTCACAGATAGTGAAATTAGTGCCAATATAACCAAAATGAAGTCATCCACATGCTCACTAGACCCTATTCCAACTAAACTTTTTAAATCCAGTCTCTTGTGCCTTTCTAATGACACTACCAGAATCGTCAACACTTCTCTACAGTCTGGTATTTTCCCTGCTGCTTTTAAAACAGCCATGGTGAAACCTTTGCTCAAGAAACCTGATCTTGACACTAGTGACTTAGCCAATTACAGATCTATTTCAAATCTCCCTTTTATCGGTAAACTGTTAGAGAAATTTGTATTTAATCAACTATTTAATTATCTTAACACTAATAATTTATTGGATAAATTTCAATCTGGCTATCGCACTAACCACAGTACAGAAACTGCCTTATTAAAAGTAGTTAATGACCTCAGAATCGCAGTTGACTCGAATAACGTTGCTGTCCTCTTTGTACTTGACTTGAGTGCTGCATTTGATACTGTTGATCATTCCATTTTAATTTATTGACTTGAGAAATGGATGGGTCTTTCTGGTGCTGTGCTTGACTGGTTTCGTTCTTACTTGTCTGACAGGAAATTATTTGTTAGCCTAGGTGATTATGTATCACAGACATTTGATGTTGAGTATGGTGTACCTCAGGGGAGCATCCTTGGTCCGATCCTCTTTTCTTTATACATGCTCCCTCTAGGTAAAATAATTAGTCTTCATAATGTACATTACCATTGTTATGCAGATGATATGCAATTATATATCTCTGTTTCATCAGGAGACCCTAGTGTGTTAAACAGTTTTTTTTCCTGTCTTACAGATATTAACATCTGGATGAACACATTTTTTTTTTAAAGCTAAACGAGCAGAAAACAGAGATTTTACTTGTTGGTCCACTAGAAGAAAGGCAGAAACTTCAGTCAAAATTTGGCAGTCTGTTCCAGCAGATTAAATCACGTTACAAGCCTAGGAGTGATTTTAGACTCTGATCTTAATTTTATTCGCCATTTTAACAGAAGTTGCAAAAACATAATTTTTTCACCTTAGAAACATTGCCAAAATTAGACCTTTTTTAACTCAGGATGATGCTGAAATACTTGTACATGCTTTTATCACTAGCCGTTTGGACAACTGCAGTTCCCTTTTTACTGGTCTCCCTAGAAAGTCACTGAAGAAACTACAAGTTATTCAGAACGCTGCAGCCAGGATTTTAACAAATACAAAAAAAAGAGATCACATTCGTCCTCAGCTTGCATCATTGCACTGGTTGCCTGTTTCTTTTAGGACTGATTTTAAAGTTCTGTTACTCAACTTATAAGGCCTTAAATAATTTAGCACCATCTTATATCAGCGATTACCTTTCTTCTTATGCCCCAACAAGAACTCTCAGATCCTCCACTGCCTGTCTTTTTGTTGTTCCCAAGGTGTCCCACAAGAGAACCGGTGAAGCTGCTTTTTGTTTTTATAGCCCTAAACTATGGAGCACTCTCCCTTTAGATCTGAGAATGGCAGACTCCTTAGCTATTTTTAAAAAGAAATTGAAAACCTATCTTTTATCACTGTTATTGTTTTTGTTTTGTTGATGTTTTTTAAATTGATGTGTTGTTTTTAACTGTTGTTGTTTTGTTGTTTCTGATATTGCTTTGTTCAAGCACTTTGGGCTGCATTCGTGCATGGAAGGTGCTCTATAAATAAAGTTTATTATTTTTATTATTATTATTATTAACAGTATGCTAACGGTACAGTAACAGTAGGATAACAGTACATATACAGTAGAGTAACGGTACACTAACAGTATGCTACCAGTAGGGTAACAGTACGCTAACAGTAGGGTAACAGTAGGGTAACAGTACACTAACAGTATGCTATCAGTATGGTAACAGTATGCTAACATTAAGCTACCAGTAGGGTAACAGTATGCTAACATTAGGCTACCAGTAGGGTAACAGTACACTAACATTAGGTGACGTGTGTGGTTGTGCTGCTGCCGTGGTCCTGCCAGATGCCTCCTGCTGCTGCTGCCATCATTAGTCATTAGTCATACTTCTACTGTTATTCTACATATGACTATTGTCACACATGTATACTGCCAGATATTAATACATACTTTCAACATATTGTACCACAGTAGCCAGAACTATAACTATATATATTATTACTTTCAATAATGTTGTTGTAAGCTACTGTCATTACCTGCATCTCTCTCTCTCTCTCTGTCTCATTGTGTCATGCGGATTACTGTTAATTTATTATGTTGATCTGTTCTGTACGACATCTATTGCACGTCTGTCCGTCCTGGAAGAGGGATCCCTCCTCAGTTGCTCTTCCTGAGGTTTCTACCGTTTTTTTTCCCTGTTTTTGGGGAGTTTTTCCTGATCAGCTGTGAGGGTCATAAGGACAGAGGGATGTCGTATGCTGTAAAGTCCTGTGAGGCAAATTGTGATTTGTGATATTGGGCTTTATAAATAAAATTTATTGAATTGATTGATTGATTACCAGTAGGGTAACAGTACACTAACAGTATGCTACCAGTAGGGTAACAGTATGCTAACATTAGGCTACCAGTAGGGTAACAGTACACTAACATTAGGCTACCAGTTGGGTAACAGTGCACAAACAGTAGGCTAACAGATGGTAACAGTAGGGTAACAGTACACTAACTCTGATTACACTAAAAGTACAGCAGTACTCTGATTACACTGTAAAAATACAGCAGTAATCTGATTACACTGTAAAAATACCGCAGTACTCTGTTTACACTGTATAAATACCGCAGTACTCTGTTTACACTGTATAAATACCGCAGTACTCTGTTAACACTGTAGGAATACTGCAGTACTCTGATTATACTGTACAAATACCGCAGTACTCTGATTACACTGTAAAAATGCCGCAGTACTCTGATTGCACTGTGCAAATCCCGCAGTACTTGGATTACATTGTAAAAAATACTGTAATACTCTGATTATACTGTACAAATGCCACAGTACTCTGATTACACTGTATTAATACCGCAGTACTCTGATTACACTTTAAAAATACCGCAGTACTCTGATTACACTGTAAAAATGCCGCAGTACTCTGATTACACTGTTGTTTTCTTGTTGTTAAACAGGAAGCTCTGAGCAGGATCATTGGCACGTTGACCAATAAGAATGAAGAGCTCCAAAACTTCTTGGAAACACTTGACAACATACGGACAGGCCTGCAGGTCAGCAGCTGATTGGCTGAGAGGGAGCAGAGGGGAGGGGCTTAGGAAGGAAAAGTTATGATAAGAGAAATAAAATAATTAAAGTGAGCTTTGTCCAATCAGGAAGAGTCATGTAAGGTGATGTCAGAGCTGGAGGCGGAGTTGGAAAAGTTAAGCTCTGCCCTGGAAGAGAGAGGGGCGTGGCTTCGCAGTGTCATTGAAGAGGAGAAGCAGAGGAAAGATGCAGAGCTTCAGGTCAGTTTCCTGATGTTTAAAAAAAGATTTTTATTTTCTCACATGAATTTAAAGAAGAAAAGTAATGAACGTTTTGATTTTATTCATGTGACAAACAGTCGCTCTCTGACTTCCTGTCTGATGTTTCAGAAGCAGCTGTCGGCGGGAACATTCGCTCTGCGGTCATGTGAAGAATTGCTCGAATTTGCAAATCAAACACTGACCATCACCAGCGAAGAAGAATTCCTCAAGGTACGACAGGACAAAATCATCAGTTCAAGTTAAAACAATGAACATTAACAAACACAAGCAAAAATACACTCATGAATGCAAAATTATTTGGAAACTTTAAATCATTAATTTTATCATTCTAAATAATTATTAAATATTTTATCTGTTTGTTTTTCAGGCTGCAAAACAAATCAAAGAAAGGTTTGTTCAACATTTAAAAAGTTTATACATAAACATATGTGTGCAGATGTCTGTTTATATTTGTTTTTACATATATATTCATTTTATTTTGAGAGAAAATTAAAGTTACGTATGTAACTACGGTTCTATGAATCCTGGATGACCGCCAGAGGAGGTACATAAACACTGAATGACTCCGTCTTGCACATGTGCAGGTCGAGTAGTTATACCAACAAAGTCACCTGTGACCCCCTGATGACCCCAGACAGGCTATATCTTCCGGTGTCGTCAGAGGATCTGTTCTTGCAGAATCTTCTCATGAAGCCACGAGGATTCTGAATGACTGAACGCTCATCCAGGATTCATAGAACTGTAACTTTAGTTCTTTTTCATCCTTTTTGACTGCCAGAGGCGGTGCATAAGCACTGGATGACCCATACCAACAGAGTCACGAGGAAAGCCAAGTACATAACTCATTGAGTCGAAGCAGAGGAACTTGGTAGGAGGACAACGCCAAGTGGGTGAGGGGCGGCAATATTCACTTGATAGAACCTGGCGAACCTGTGCTCGGCAATGCCCATGAGGCCGCAGCACATATGGCCTCCAGGGGCACCCCTCTCAGGGCTGCCCATGATGTGGATACACTCCTTACAGAGTGGCACCGCACCTCAGATGGCAGGGGGTGACCATCTGCCTTATATGCATAGGGGATGGCATCCATGATCCAGTGAGACAAAGGCTGTTTGGAGAGAGCACAACCTTTCTTAGGACCATCATGACATACAAAAAGCTTGTTTGACAGGTGTATACTAGCGGTACCATCCACCTATGCTCTCAGAGCCAGCACAGGGTCTAAGTGCTCCGAGTTGTCGTCCCCTTCCCCATCTGGTGGGTCAAACCGCACCAGCTGGATGGGCCGATTGAGGTGCAAGCTCGACAGAACCTTAGGCAGGAATGCAGTATTCGGCCATAAGGTGACCCCTGAGCAATCCGAATTCCATCTTAGACAAGAACCACTGACTGACAAAGCATGAAGCTCCCCTACACACTTTGCTGAAGAGATGGCGAGGAGCAAGGCAGTCTTTGCCGACAACCATCTCAGTCCTGCCTGTGCCAGTGTCTCAAAGGGAGGCAAGCATAGAGCATCCAGCACCAAGGACAGATCCCATGCTGGAGCTCTCGGCATTTGTGGGGGACGTAGTCTCAGAGCCCCCTTCAAAAAGAGGGACACCAGCCTGTGGCACCCCACCGTGTTGTTATCGACTCGCACATGTTGAGACGAAATAGCAGCTACGTACACCTTCAGGGTAGAGGGGGACCGACCGCCATCCAGGAGAGATAGTAAGAACTCCAGAATGGTAGGCACAGAGCAGTGCACAGGCTCCTCGTCCTTGCTTGAACACCAAGCAGAGAACAGCTGCCACTTGTTCTCATACTGCGCCCACGTAGACGGTGTCCTGGTGTTCAGAACAGTATTACGAATGGTGTCTATACACTCACTCAGCAGTGGGTCAGGCCCTGCAGAGGCCAAACCCACAGTTGAAGGCGGCAAGGGTCAGGATGCCAAACCCGTCCCCCTAGCTGAGACAGGAGATCTTTCCTGTTGGGGAGGCGCCATAGTGAGCTGCGACACAGCCTGTGCAGCAGAGGAAACCACGTCTGTCCCGGCCAAAAGGGGGCCACCAGAAGCAGCCCTGTTGAAGAACCCTCTGAAGTGTTGCCATAATCAGAGGGATCAGCGGGAAGGCATAGAGGAGACCCTCTGGCCACTCGTGTGCGAGGGCATCCTGCCCCAGAGAGCTGGTCTCCTCTGTCCAGGAGAAGCACAGGGGACAATGGGTTGTCCCCCTCTGAGGCAAAAAGATCCACTTTTGCCCTGCTGAAGAGGTCCCAGATGCTGCGGACGACCTCTGGGTGAATCCACCACTCCCTCGGACAAGGCTTGCAGTGGGAGAGGACGTCTGCTACCTTGTTCTGCTTCCCTGGAAGAGACATTGCTCTCAGGCTGGCTAGCCGGGGGGCAAGTTAGAAAGCCCCAGGTCACCTGCAGCAACTGCGCAGACCTGGTGCCCCCTTGATGATTTATGTGGGAGACGGTTGTGATGTTGTCTCACTGCACAAGCAAGTCTCCCCCTCAGGTATGGGAGAAAGTGCTCGAGCGTTAGGGATACAGCCCGTAGCTCTAGCATGTTGACATGGTCCGTGCGGACTCGAGCAGACCACTGCCCTCGAGCTGTTCTGTTCTGCCACACTGTGCCCCATCCTGAGAGGGAGGCATCGGTCGTGACGGTCCCCGATGGGACAGAACAGAGCCCATGGGCATGCCCTGCAACATGAATACCTTCTCCCACCACAGGGACAAGGCGAGGAGGCATCACCGCAACACCCTGATCTTCCTGTGCCTGTACCACTTGGCGTCTAGATGAAAGCTGTTCAGCCATCTTTGAAGGGGGCGTAGTGACAGCAAGCCTAAGGGAACCACAGTTGCGGCAACCATCAACTTGGCCAGGAGGCGCAGAAACTGCATGTAGGGCAACTACTTACCTCCTCAGAAAAGGGGTAGGAGGCAGAGGGTGTCGTCCACTCACTGAGAAGACGGACAGGCTTTCATGGTGACAGTGTCTAGAGCCACACCCAGGAAGGTGGTGCTCTGGGAGGGAACTAGGCAGCTCTTCTTGGGGTTCACTGTGAGACCCAGCCAGGCCATGTGGGCTAAAAGCACAGCTGTATCTTGAGCAATCTGAGACTGGAACGGTGCACACACCAGCCAGTCATCCAGATATGGGAGGATTTTCATGCCCTGTGACTGCAGGGATGAGAGGGCTGCAGCCACACATCTGGTGAACACCCATGGGGAGAGGGAGAGGCCAAAAGGAAGCACCCTGAGCTGAAAGTGGTGGCCTTGAAAGGCAAAATGAAGGAATTGCCTGTGGTGAGGCATGATGGGGACATGAAAATAGGTATTCTTCAGGGCGATGAACATAAACCACTCCGCTCTGGCAATCACATGCAGAACCTCTGCTGTGCTGAGCATGTGGAAAGGCATGACCTTCAGGAACCTGTTGAGTCCCCTTAGATCGAGGACGGGGCGAAGTCCGCCATCTTTCTTTTCCACAAGAAAGTACGTTGAGTAGTATCCCCCGGGCTGTGACAGGGGATCTACTGGCTCGATGGCACCCTTGACCAGCAGGGCAGACAGCTCCTATTTTAGGGTTAGGGCTTTTGCCGGGTGCTTATGGTAGTCATTTTGACCCAGCCAAAGGCTGGGGACCAGCGTTGAAACTGCAGTTTGTACCCCTGGGCTAGGGTGGAGACCACCCAGGGATCCAGGGTGTAAGCAGCCCAATAACTGAGCTGCTGGGGAAAGCAGCCGACGACCGGCCCGGGGCCTCAGTTCCTGGCCCCCCGGCCTCTGGAGGCCCTGGGGGGGCGTCGGTTAACCTCCAAAGCCCTAGGTTGTCGGGAGGGCCAGCAATCGGGGACCTGAAAGTCCTGGGCTGCTCGTTGAGCGGGTCGCTGCACTGGGCGCTCTGGTGGCCATCAGGATAATCCTGTGACTGAGAGCAGTGCTGCAGGGCAGCTGAAGACTCTCGGTCTAGCGGGGGGAGGCACACTCCTGTGTAGACCTGAGAGCTGCTGCCTGGTCTGTCTGGCTTGGACCGTCCGCTCTAGTGCCTCCAGAGCAGCCGACCCAAACAACTCTCCCGGTTCCACCGGAACACTGTGGAGGGTCCTCCTGCACGCCTTTGTGAGGGGTGACTGAGCCAGCCAAACTTGGCGACGAGCCTGAACCAGTGTGGACATTACCTGCCCCAGCTCCCTGGACATAAGGGCAAAAGCCTGCAGGGATGCATCACTGGGGTGAAGGGCACCTGGCATTCAGCCTAAGGGCTTCATCAGGAGAGACAATACGCATGGCCACTTTTGGCTCAATAGCCAGCATGCGGCCAACGCCAAACTTGGCTGCATCTTGCATGGCTGCCAGGGTTCGGCCATCAGACGTTGCATGAGAGAGAGTTCTAGAATCACTCCAACATGCATGCAATTCCTTAAGGTATTCCTCTGAAGGAGGCACAGTAAAGGTGGCAGGGGTTGGACCACGCCTAAAAAAAGCACTTGCCAGAGGCAGCTGGGCTTGTGGTACATCAAGCTGCAGACGAGCCAGGCCCGTACGAATGATGGCCCCCATGGAACTACTCTCTGAGCCCTCACCTGAGCTGTGGGTCGAGGAACGGGAGCCCGCTTCTGAGGCATGGGAGACCGTGTCATGAGGGACCGTGTCTGCCTCATATTCCCCAAATTCAGTGGCTGAAGCTGCCGTCAAGAGGATGTTATCCTCTGGACCTAGGCTAGGCTGGGTTGGGGCCAAGCTTTGGGCTGAGGTTAGTGACCATCCTCAGGCTGCAGGCTACAAAAATGAGTGTTCATCATAATGGCGGCTGCCAAATATGAAAACAACACACAATGAACAACGTCTGCTGGGAGTGGGAGCAAAAACACTGTCCTCACCAACAAAGGTTGCAACAAGAAACCAGAACAACCAAAGATGTTTAGTGGTGCAAGTAAATTAGCTCAAGTGCTAATGCTGCTGCTAATTATAGAACAAAGTCAATTCCAAATAGGCATTGCTGTAACTAAAAAACAGCCTAGGTATGACCGAGTTGTTACCAATAATTCACTTAGGCTAACTTGATTTATTTTGAGCTAAGTGGAAGCACTGTTGCTAACCCAGATAAGGCAAATTGTGATTTGTGATATTGGGCTTTATAAATAAAATTGATTGATTGATATAATAATATATAACAAGATATAACAAGACACATCTATGCTGTGAGAAGGAGCGAAAACACTGCCATCACCAACAAGTCGTCATTATCAACAAAGGTAGCTTGCCCCTGTAAACTATTAAACAAAACGGGTACAAGTATAAGTTGCCGCAACATGAAATAAGTTAGCTCTAGCAGACATGCTGGTGCTAACTGTAAACAAGCTACAACAGAGCACACCTATGCTGGGAGAGGGAGCGGAAACACTTCTGTCACCAACAAAGTAACAATATAGCTTTTGAGGAATTTCAGTTAGGATTTAGAGTGCATCATAGCACTGAGACAGCACTGGTTAAAATTACAAATGACCTTCTGATTGCTTCAGACAAAGGACTCGTGTCTGTTCTTGTTTTATCAGATCTTAATGCGGCATCTGACACTATTGACCATCAAATTCTGCTACAGAGACTGGAAAACTTAATTGGCCTAAAAGGTTCTGCACTAAGCTGGTTTAAATCTTATTTTATCTGATCGTTTTCAGTTTGTTCATGTTCATAATGAATCATCCTTACGTACTGAAGTTTGTTTTGGAGTTCCACAAGGTTCTGTGCTAGGACCAATCCTATTTACTCTATATATGCTTCCTTTAGGAAACATCATTAGAAATCACTCTGTAAATTTCCATTGTTATGCGGATGATACACAGCTGTATTTATCTATGAAGCCAGAAGAAAGTAATCAATTAACTAAACTTCATAATTGCCTTAAAGACATAAAAACCTGGATGAGCACCAATTTCCTGATGTTAAATTCAGACAAAACTGAAGTTATTGTTCTTGGCCCCAAACAACTCAGAGACTCTTTATCTGATGACATAGTTTCTCTAGATGGCATTGCTCTGGCCTCTAGCACTACCGTAAGAAATCTCGGAGTAAGATTTGATCAAGATTCGTCTTTCAATTCTCTTAAAACAAACCTCACAGACTGGATTTTTTCATCTGCGTAATATTGCGAAAATTAGGCCTATCCTGACCCGAAAAGATGCAGAAAAATTGGTCCACGCTTTTGTTACCTCAAGGCTGGATTACTGTAACTCTCTATTATCAAGTAGCTCTAGTAAGTCCTTAAAAACTCTCCAGCTAATTCAGAATGCAGCAGCACGTGTACTAACAGGAACTAAGAAACAAGATCATATTTCTCCTGTTTTAGCTACTCTGCACTGGCTCCCTGTAAAATCCAGAACTGAATTTAAAATCCTACTGTTAACTTAGAAAGCTCTAAATGGTCAAGCTCTATCATATCTTAGAGAGCTCATAGTGCCATATTATCCCACCAGAACACTGCGCTCTGAGAACGCAGGGTTACTCGTGGTCCCTAAAGTCTCCAAAAGTAGATCAGGAGCCAGAGCCTTCAGCTATCAGGCTCCTCTCCTGTGGAATCATCTTCCTGTTACGGTCCGGGAGGCAGACACCGTATCCGCATTTAAGACTAGACTTAAAACTTTCCTCTTTGATAAAGCTTATAGTTAGGGCTGGCTCAGGCTTGCCCTGTACCAGCCCCTAGTTAGGCTGATTTAGGCCTAGTCTGCCGGAGAACCCCCTATAATACACCGGGCACCTTCTCTCCTTCTCTCTCGTGTCCTGTTACTGCATCTTGCTAACTCGGCCATTCTGGATGTCACTAACTCGGCTTCTTCTCCAGAGCCTTTGTGCTCCACTGTCTCTCAGATTAACTCATATCACAGCGGTGCCTGGATAGTGTGACGTGTGTGGTTGTGCTGCTGCTGTGGTCCTGCCAGATGCCTCCTGCTGCATCTGACTGGGACTGCTGTCATACTTCTACTGTTATTATACACATATGATTATTGTCATATATGTATGCTATCAGATATTAATATATACTTTCAACATATTGTACCACAGTAGCCAGAACTATAATTATAAAATTATTACTTTCATTAATGTTGTAAGCTACTGTCATTACCGTCTTTCCTGCATCTCTCTCTCTCTCTCTCTCTCTCTTTCTGTCTCATTGTGTCATACGGATTACTGTTAATTTATCATGTTGATCTGTTCTGTACGATATCTATTACACGTCTGTCTGTCCTGGAAAAGGGATCCCTCCTCAGTTGCTCTTCCTGAGGTTTCTACCGTTTTTTTTCCCCCTGTTAAAGGGTTTTTTTGGGGGGAGTTTTTCCTGATCAGCTGTGAGGGTCCTAAGGACAGAGGGATGTTGTGTGCTGTAAAGCCCTGTGAGACAAATTGTGATTTGTGATATTGGGCTTTGTAAATAAAATTGATTGATTGATTGATTGAATTGAATATGGTACCTTATCAGCTGAGTGACCAACCTCTAATATAGGATGATGATGATTCCAAGGTAGAAGTGTCCATGATGCCGGTGAGGCAGCCACACACCATGTTCCGGAGGCACAGTTTGCCGCAACCCTTGGAGGGTGAGCACCTCGCAGCTCCGACCGACAACGTACAGTCACAAGGCTACCGGTGACAAGCAGTATTTTCTCCTCTAAAGCTCCAGTCAGATTTTTACCAGCTGTCTTCTCTTTACCTCAGAATGAGTCGTAAATATTTACACAGGGAGCATGTCTGCAGAGATTACTGTGTTTCTACGGGAGCCTAGAGCGGACAAAACAAACAGTAGTTAACTGTAGTTAACAGATCAGTCTGTGTAAGAGAGGAGGAGACGTCTGAGGAGAGCTCAGCTCCTGTTTAAAGCCTCCTAAACATCAGAGAGGAGGAGACAGCTGAGGAGAGCTCAGCTCCTGTTTAAAGCCTCCTAAACATCAGAGAGGAGGAGATGTCTGAGGAGAACTCAGCTCCTGGTTAAAACCTTCTGAAGGAGTTGTGTTTTCAAATGTGAGAATAGTCTCAGAGTTCTGAATGCAGCCTGAAGATGTTCAGTAAAGGGTCAGAGATCAGGATGATTCAGGAAAGTTCTCTGAGCGATGAAGAGACAGAAACTGTGACCTCGCAGAGGAGGTGTGGTCGACCCTGTTGTTAGAAGTTGTCAGAGACACGCCCCACTGTGAGGACATCCGGTGGACAGGAAGTGTCTCCGTCAAGTGATCACTGGGTGTTTGTCAAAGTCAAGGAGGACCTGTGAGGAAGGAAGGATCCTTTGGAACAGTCCTTCGGCGGGTCAATGATGTAGTGTCTTTGAAAAACACCCACTGCTGATGAAGGTTGAGACAGACTCAACTAATTTCTGATGTGTTTCTATTGATCATATCAGTTATATCATCATTTTATCTCTGGTGTTACATCATTATTTTGTCAGGTGATAAATGTGCATCTCTCTGATGAGATCGATCACAAACAATGATCTGTAGCGTTTCATTTCCTCACTGTCGTCCAGTGTTTGGAGAATATTTCTTTGACCTCTTTGTTTTTCCAACCCTTTTCTCCTTAAAGTCCTCCTCCTGCTCCTCCTGCTCCTCCTCCCCCTCCTCCTCCTCTCTCCTCCGCCTGGTTTCACCTCAGGATCTCTGTGAAGAACTTTTGTCTTTCCCAGAAGCTCGTCTTAACTTTAAGTTTAAACTTTAAGTCTTAACTTTGAGTCTTTATTCTAATTCAAAACTCTAAGTCTTAACTTTAAGTCTGAACATTAAGTCTTAACTTTAAGGGGAAATTCTAAGAAAACGTCACAACTCTAAGAATTTCTTTCGTCACGATTACAACTCTGATCAGGAAAAAGGATGAACACACATTAAGAAGATAATTCAGGGGCACTGGTGGCTTAGTGGCAGAGCAGGCATCCCATGTACAAGGCTGTTGCCGCAGTGGCCCGGGTTCGAATCCAGCCTGTGGCCCTTTGCTACATGTCATCCCCCCTCTCTCTCCCCCTTCACGCTCACCTGTCCTGTCCAATAAAGGCAAAATAGCCAAAAAAAAATCTGAAAAAAAAAGAAGATAATTCAGCTCCTGGTCATGAACACTTGAGGAATTGTAATCAGGAGCAGTTTGAGTCTGTGATTCTAACCACTATAAACCACTAAATTTGACACACTGGACCTTTAAAGTAAAACGTTGGGTCGAGATGCCTTGTAGAAAGAAAGTAAAAACCTCCAGAGACGTCCTGAATATAAATTAGTCTGATCATCTGATTTATAACCACACGGCTTTATAAAATTCATATCTACATGTAGCAGGATGGAACTGTGATGTCATCAGCCCTGCAGCTTTATTAGCTAACCAGCTACCAACCATTAGAATTGTTAGCTAACAACCATTAGTATAGTTAACTAATAATTATTAGCATCGTTAAGTACCAACCATTAGCATAGTTAGCTACTAATCATTTGCATCGTTACCTACCAACCATTGGCATCATTAGCTACCAACCATTAGCATTGTTAGCTACCAACCATTAGCATAGTTAGCTAATAATTATTAGCATTGTTAAGTACCAACCATTGGCATAGTTAGCTACTAATCATTTTGATCGTTACCTGACAACCATTAGCATTGTAAGCTCAAACTAAGATATTTTTTAATATAGTGGTATACTAACCCTCTGTTCTCCAGCAGGTAATCACCCCTTCTTCTTTATTTTTGTTTGATGCCACCAGTTGTTGTTTTATTTTTTTTTTAATTTAAACGAACCAATCAAAGTTTAGTGTTCTAAATGACTGTTGCAAGGGTAACCATGGCTCCAGCGTTCCGGCTGACAACTCGTCCAGCGGTATCGGAGAACATGTCACAGTTTACTGTGGACTTCAGCACAGAGAGGGCTGGACTTCAACGACTTCACTTCCTGCCTGGTGAGTCACGTCTCCTCCTGGGTGAGGAGTGTCTGTACATACAGTACAGGCCAAAAGTTTGGACACACCTTCTCATTCAATGCGTTTTCTTTATTTTCATGACTATTTACATTGTAGATTCTCACTGAAGGCATCAAAACTATGAATGAACACATGTGGAGTTATGTACTTAACAAAAAAAGGTGAAATAACTGAAAACATGTTTTATATTCTAGTTTCTTCAAAATAGCCACCCTTTGCTCTGATTACTGCTTTGCACACTCTTGGCATTCTCTCCATGAGCTTCAAGAGGTAGTCACCTGAAATGGTTTCCACTTCACAGGTGTGCCTTATCAAGGTTAATTAGTGGAATTTCTTGCTTTATCAATGGGGTTGGGACCATCAGTTGTGTTGTGCAGAAGTCAGGTTAATACACAGCCGACAGCCCTATTGGACAACTGTTAAAATTCATATTATGGCAAGAACCAATCAGCTAACTAAAGAAAAACGAGTGGCCATCATTACTTTAAGAAATGAAGGTCAGTCAGTCCGGAAAATTACAAAAACTTTAAATGTGTCCCCAAGTGGAGTCGCAAAAACCATCAAGCGCTACAACGAAACTGGCACACATGAGGACCGACCCAGGAAAGGAAGACCAAGAGTCACCTCTGCTTCTGAGGATAAGTTCATCCGAGTCACCAGCCTCAGAAATGGCAAGTTAACAGCAGCTCAGATCAGAGACCAGATGAATGCCACACAGAGTTCTAGCAGCAGACCCATCTCTAGAACAACTGTTAAGAGGAGACTGCGCCAATCAGGCCTTCATGGTCAAATAGCTGCTAGGAAACCACTGCTAAGGAGAGGCAACAAGCAGAAGAGATTTGTTTGGGCCAAGAAACACAAGGAATGGACATTAGACCAGTGGAAATCTGTGCTTTGGTCTGATGAGTCCAAATTTGAGATCTTTGGTTCCAACCGCCGTGTCTTTGTGAGACGCAGAAAAGGTGAACGGATGGATTCCACATGCCTGGTTCCCACTGTGAAGCATGGAGGAGGAGGTGTGATGGTGTGGGGGTGTTTTGCTGGTGACACTGTTGGGGATTTATTCAAAATTGAAGGCACACTGAACCAGCATGGCTACCACAGCATCCTGCAGCGACACGCCATCCCATCCGGTTTGCGTTTAGTTGGACGATCATTTATTTTTCAACAGGACAATGACCCCAAACACACCTCCAGGCTGTGTAAGGGCTATTTGACCAAGAAGGAGAGCGATGGAGTGCTGCGGCAGATGACCTGGCCTCCACAGTCACCGGACCTGAACCCAATCCAGATGGTTTGGGGTGAGCTGGACCGCAGAGTGAAGGCAAAGGGGCCAACAAGTGCTAAACACCTCTGGGAACTCCTTCAAGACTGTTGGAAAACCATTTCAGGTGACTACCTCTTGAAGCTCATGGAGAGAATGCCAAGAGTGTGCAAAGCAGTAATCAGAGCAAAGGGTGGCTATTTTGAAGAAACTAGAATATAAAACATGTTTTCAGTTATTTCACCTTTTTTTGTTAAGTACATAACTCCACATGTGTTCATTCATAGTTTTGATGCCTTCAGTGAGAATCTACAATGTAAATAGTCATGAAAATAAAGAAAACGCATTGAATGAGAAGGTGTGTCCAAACTTTGGGCCTGTACTGTATGTGCTCTGTGCATATGTACTCTGTACAAATTTACTCTGTGCACATGTACTCTGTACATGTGCACTCTGTGCACATGTACTCTGTAAACATGTACTCTGTACACATGTTCTCTGTAAACATGTACTCTGTACACATGTACTCACTCTGTACACATGTACTCTGTACACATGTACTCACTCTGTATACATGTACTCTGTGCACATGTACTCTGTACACAACGCTGATCAAATTTACGCTGTGCTGCATGATTGACATTGTGTAACATCAGCAGTGCACACACACACACACACACACACACACACACATGCAACTCATGGCTTGGACGATGTGAGAAAGTGAAACATGGGCGGCTTCTCACTTTAATCATTCACGCACACACATCAAGACAGAGAAGGAGAGAGTTGTTAATGAGTAAGCAAGTACACAGATCTCAATATAAGTACACAGACCGCAATATTAGTACACAGATCGCAGTATTAGTACACAGATTTCAGTATTAGTACACAGATCCCAACATTAGTGCACAGATTGCAGTCTTAGTACACAGATTTCAGTATTAGTACACAGATCTCAGTCTGAGTACACAGATTTCAGTATTAGTACCCAGATCTCAGTATAAGTACACAGATCGCAGTCTTAGTACACAGATTTCAGTATAAGTACACAGATCGCAATCTTAGTACACAGATTTCAGTATAAGTACACAGATCTCAGCATTAGTACACAGATTTCAGTATTAGTACTCAGATCTCAGTATTATTACACAGATCACCGTCTTAGTACACAGATTTCAGTATTAGTACACAGATCTCAGTATTAGTACACAGATTGCCGTCTTAGTACACAGATTTCAGTATGAGTACACAGATCTCAGTATTAGTACACAGATCGCCGTCTTAGTACACAGATATCAGTATTAGAACACACATCTCAGTATTAGCACACAGATCTCAGTATAAGTACACAGATCGTAGTATTAGTACACAGATCGCAGTCTTAGTACACAGATCGAAGTTTTAGTACACAGATATCAGTATTAGTACACAGATCACAGTCTTAGTACACAGATCTCAGAATGAGTACACATATTGCAGTATTAGTACACAGATCACAGTATTAGTACACAGATCTCAGTTTAAGTACACAGATTGCAGTATAAGTACACAGATCTCAGTATAAGTATACAGATTGCAGTATTAGTACACAGATCACAGTATTAGTATACAGTTCTCAGTATTAGTGTACAGATCGCAGTATTAGTGCACAGATCGCAGTATTAGTACACAGTGTCTGTACATCTGAGTAACGTATTTGTTTCAGTACCCAGAGCTCCAGAGATCGATGTCTCCAGCTGTGTCGTCCGTGACAACGCCATCACGGTTGCCTGGCGACCAGCTGGTGAGGCCGATGGCGATGGTGACTGCGTCAGTGGACGAATTGAATGCTATGAAGTGGAATACCAAAAAACAAACCGTGACAGCTCATTGAGAGCCGCAGGAGAAGCATGCTGGGAAAAAGTCCATGACATCAGAGAAACGCATGTCACTATTGCAGGTGAGAGGTCAGAGGTCAGAGATCATGTCTCAGGTCAGAGATCACAGTTAAAGGTTAGAGGACACAGACAGAAGTCAGAGGTTAGTCAGAGGCCGTGTCTCAGGTCAGAGGTCACAGTCAGAGGTCAGATTTCATGTCTCAGGTCAGAGGCATAGATATATATACATCGATGCCGCACCCTGGCTTGTGGGCTGCGTCAATACCGAAGCCATCTTGCCTAGGTGCTCTGACCGGTTCAGACCTGTGTCAGACTCGGCAAAAATGCCACATTGTTGCTCTGCATTTGGGTGTACGAACAAGAGAAGTGTTAAAACCAAGCAGAAGGGAATAACATTCCACAGGTAAGAAGTTGTTTTACAATATTTTACTGTTACGAACATGTTTAATGAGATATATATCTCAAAAAGTGATCCTTCTTTTAAGCTAATCAAGTAAAGTAACTGTCCTGATCTGGTCCTAATGCCAAATTAAGCTAACGCTATGTCACACAACTTAAAGAAAAAAGGTTAACCTTTATATAATATTACTTATAAAATTATGATGCTTTGTCAAACAGCTATGTCGGCGTATGTGTTATTCCAAATTGTCAACTATCTGTTTCATGGCACCAACGTGACATAACGCAGTATAACGTTAGTAGTTAACTTGTGGCCTGAATTGTAACTACAAATTATGTGGAACTGCGTTTTTCTGACACACTTATTTTGCGTGTAGTTTCCCAAAAAACACAGATAGGAGACGGGCATGGGTAGCAGCAGTGAGGAGAAAGGACTTTGTCC